GCAGTCACCTAACATTCTTGTGGATACTTCAGCCATCTTTGAAGTTTACGCCAAGGTAAATGGTGTAGTGACTGGCAACTTAGGAAGTTTATAGTATTCACTGAATTCACCTTAGTCTGTAGACATCTATAAACACATGTTTGTTAATTCAGTAGAGGAGTGCCTGCTAAGTACAACGTACAGTTCTAGGATCTGGTGACAGATACAGCGGTTATTCCAAATAGATCTTTTTCCTACTATACCTTTATTTAGATGAATTTTGGCAAGTTAATTAGAGAGAAAACTTGTGATAAAAATAATTCTGGATTATTTAATTTTCTGTTGCACTGAATAGAAACATAATGTTTGTATAGAACAATATAAATGTTGTAAGGTGATATTACTAAGACCTTTTGATTAGGTATGACTGTTAGTTTACTACACTTTCAACGTTTTGAGACGTTATTTTAACGTACTTGAGTTTCTGTTCTCTTCTTAATAGAGAAGGTAATGATTTAATTACGTTGTTTATAGTGGATTTGTCATTGCTACATTTTAAATTCCAGATATTAGAGTTCTCTGTTTATAACAATCTATAGAAATTCCTTTAAGCATTTGAAGAGGAACTCATTTTTACTGAGACTAGTAAATAACAGTTGTAATGATATTTGAAAATATTGAGAATAGAAATAATTTCATTATTGGATTATCAACTAAATTTATAGCACAGCAGATGAAAGAAAATTACCACTGTCTATATCATTAATCATTATGTAGGAGAGTAGTTGCTAAGTTTAGAATATTAAAATGATGAATGATATATCACATGCTTAGTCTACTTTTTGTAATTAACTTTGCAAAAAAATAAGCCAACTATACTTAAATGTTATACATAGTATATATTATTGACACATCTTTGTATAGAATTTATTATGGAATCTTATCTAATAAAAATTAAGTATTTCCAGGGTTGTTTGGATTAAAACCAAAAAATAGAAATTATCTCACACATAATTCCAAAATGTGTTAAATGCAAACAAAATGAGCAAATGTAAGAAAAAAGATTACCAGCTAATTTAGAAACAGCCTTCAATTTTTCGAGAAATAAATACTGATCATACATTTTTTAAATATACTGAAAGTTCAATGTTATCATTTTGAAGGTTAAGAATATGTACGGTAAAGTTAAATAAACTACACTAAGTTATTTCCCTTTCAAAGAGGTTGTACTTTTAGATTTAAAGTATCTACAAGTGACCATATAATTTTGTAACATAACAAACACGGTTAATGAAGAAATTGAAAAATACATTTCAAACTAATGTGATATACATGTGTGTGTATGTGTACATATGTGTATAGAGAGAGATGTTTTCATCTGAATGACATATTCATAACTTTCATAGGTATATAGCAATGATAATTAATTTCTATGTTGCTAATTTTAGAAAGACTCACAGTTGACATACATCCAGTAGAGAAAATCAAAATCTAAATTTCTTTAAGCTCTTCATAAACCAAGCACATTGTTTTAATTTTTACAAATTGAAAATGAGGCAGAAACACAAAGAAAGTTGCCAAAGGACACACCATCTGTAAAGGAAAAGGGAACACAATTGGGAATATTAGAATCATCTTTCTGCTTTGTTGAGACTGGCTACCATTTGGTATAAAATAACAACAAATAGTGTGCAACTATTATTTCATTATTTCAGGCACAGCTTATTAAACTTTCAATGAAGGACAAAGTTAAGATTACATGATCGCTAAACCAAGTCATCAGTAAAAATAAAAATCCAACTGACAGTATATTTATATAGCAAAGCGAATTCACATTTTGTTAAAAAAAAATAATAGAGAAGATAAAATCCAAAATTTCTTTAGAAAGTATGTCGGTGTTTAGTCTTAAAAAAATAAAAAAAGATCTAAACAGATTTGGAGAGTTTAGGAATCACGTGACATTCTCTCTTATTTCTTCTAGCTATACATTACTTCTTCAAGACATACATCAATTTACAAATGACTTACACTAGAACAGTCAGGAATACTGAAGAATATCTTTCTTCTACTCATTAGTTTGTTTAACACACTGAAAAAATTGTCTTGGTTATTTTGTCTCCCCATTTAAAAAAATTTTTAGTCCTAAATCTATTGAATCAGATTTTCCAAGTTATATCTTCCATCCTGGAAGTGATTCTCTTAATATATGATGTTTGACATATTTTCACTGAATTGACCTTTTGCACTGTTTTCAAGTACATCAGCAGTTAGATATTCTGGGAAAAGCTTCTGTTGTGAGCTGTGATTATAATTTCCTTCGATAAGAACATACTTCTTAAGTTACTACTCCAGCTCCCCTTCCTTAGGACGTCCAGGGCCTGTTAGAGTCAGAGCAGTTTACAAAACCTGCTCTGGGAGACTCCAAGTCACCGTAAATCTTTAACGCTTACAACTACATTTCCAATAGAACATTCATATACAGTAAACCAATTTCCTCTGGTTGTAAAATTATTCATTCCGATTTTTTCCTATATTTAATTTTGACTTCCTTATAATATAAACCTACATGGAATCTGCTACTTCATATATTATATATAAAGCATTAATAAATCTGAGCTCCTTGACAACAATGCCTGAAAGCCCATGATTATGATACATAAATTTTAATATTAAAGGAACAAATTTTATTTAAATATGGTTGAAAGTGCAAATGCCCTCATGGTCCATCAGACAATATAATATTATATGAAGCTGCTAGGTTAAGATAATATGGAGGGGGGTGCTTAATCAGCCTAAAGGCACTCAAATTCAAATTTATTATTTTATAAAAGGAAATAGAATTGTTCTGATCAAATAAAACATGGATTTTTTCAGAATTTAGCCTGTGGATTGCCACTTGGCAAGCATAGCTTTAGTGTTTATAAGCACACAATAGTGGAACTTTCTAAACTATATGAGCTACCCAGTTAATCGAAGTGTGAAATTTTAATTACATTCACATTCAAGGAAATTTTTACTTTTTATTTAGATGCCGTGTATTGAAGGTGATTATTAATGAGTGATAAGTCCATAGTGACAATCTAATAGCCACATTTTCACATTCACATTAAGTCATGCTTACATAGTACTTGAATTGTTACAGTAGGAATGATGCGGGTTAATTATATTTTTAATTTAACAATATGAGGGAATGTTGTTTATTTGACTGAGGATACATTTAAAACTCATTAAAGCAAATGGGGAAAATACACCAACTTTTTCTTTTCAATTCTTTCGGGGGTAGGAAAACGATTTGAGTTGCAAAGATTAAACATAATAATAGAGACTATTTTCACTATGTTTAAAATTGGGCACAGAGCTTTTAAATGAAAGTGTAGGCCAAAGACATAGTGGGACAACAAGATGACTCAAGGGCATCCTATGCAAAAAATATCATCTCTCAGATAAAAATTCTCAAATGAACAAAGAGTTCTTCATTAACTTTAAAGTCAAAAGATTATGCAAGCCATATGAAATTAGCAATTTCATAAAATGTATAATTTTAAACAAAGACCCTTTGTAAGTCTTTTCTGTATATACGATTTTGTTAGCTTTGTAGAAGATACTGTAAATTTAGAATCCAAATACTCAATATTGATCTTTTGCATTTTTTTAATTAAAATTTCTAATGAGATACTTAATTTTCATCTAAGACTTGAAGGTCTTTATCCATAACCAGCTAACAAAAAGATCATTGTACTGATCGAACAAGTTAAAATGATGGTATGGTGAATGATTTTGAATATTCTCTGACATATATGAGTAATTTCTGATCTGATTGATCACATATAGAGGCTTCTATGTAAATACACCATTCACTAGCTTTAAAAATTTGGAATAATTATGAAATTGAGGGATACTGCTAGAGTGAAATGAAATTTAATTTACAATTTAACAAGTGCTAGTTCATAACTGTTTATTTTCGTATTTGCTACCTACATGTCAAATAAAAAGAAAAACATGAAGGAAAAGTATTATGTATATTTGTATGCTTTAAGGGGACTTTAGTAAGGGCAGATTTCAGTAATATAAACAAACACACGTACCACGAACTTTACACTTGGGAACAGAGATTTAAAGTCAATGTTAAAATAGGATTTAAGTAAACTTGATAGCTATAAATTTTGCAGTATTATTAGGATTGTGAAATGCCCTTTTCGACTTTAGACTTAAAAATAGGAAAAACATTCTATTGTAATGTTAAAAAGCATGACTTTTGTACAGATAATTTATGTAGATAGATGGCTACAAGTATAAGATATTTACTGATCAAGTATTCATTTTTGCATATCAATTTTTATATTTAATATTTGAAATTTTAGTCTACATGAACATGATGAATCTCTCATAGATAAAACACACTGGTCAAACTCTCTATTGTAGTATCTGACAAAGAACTTTCTTAATCACTTAACATGGAGTTACTGCCATCCTTCATGTTTTACTTAAATAGGCATGTACCTAATCACAAATTGAAAATAAACAGTAATTTTTGGTTTCAATATCCAATATTAAGGTTTTTTTTTTTAATGAACCATACATGAAGATTCTTAAAAAAGGTGTTAGTTGGAAATGCTAGAGGTTATTATTGGTGGTAGAATAAATTTGTAAGAAAACCTAAAATATGCATATTCCAGAACACTGAAAAGCAACACAATTTTGCTACATCCATACATATAATTCTATATTGAACTAGTACAATTCAATTTGAATTGAATTTATATTGTGATATGTTGAAAATATTTCTTAAAATGTAATGATCTGCAAATAAGTTTGTTAAAAATAGACCAAGATAGGGGCTGGCCTGGTGGCACAGCGGTTAAGTTAGCACATTCCGCTTTTTGGTGGCCCAGCATTCTCCTGTTCATATCCCGGGTGTGGACATGGTACCACTTGGCAAACACCATGCTGTGGTAGGTGTCTCACGTATAAAGTAGAGGAAGATGGGCATGGATGTTAGCTCAGGCTCAGTCTTCCTCAGCAAAAAGAGGAGGATTGGCAGTAGTTAGCTCAGGGCTAATCTTCCTCAAAAAAAAAAAAAAAAGTAGACCAAGATACTAATGAGCTTTCAATTTGATAAAGCCACAGTTTCATTTCTTTATGTTAAATTAAAAAAAATTTATCCTTGAAAACATTGTTTCATAATTTCCACATTTAGAATTACATGTGTGTAATTTTGAAACAGTATACATTTATTTTATAGTAGAAATATATAATATTCCTTCATATTCACTGACAAAGATACCTAATTATGAAAAAAACTCTGCGAAAGACTTCCATTTAACATATTTTATTACTTTTCTTCTATAAAATGGTTTTTCTAGTGTCTAATAAAAATATGTCTGATATACTTATCATTATGCAATATATCATTGCATTTTTATTTTGACAGTAAATAGAAAATGAGAAAGTCAAATTATTCTATATTTCCATTACCTCATTTCTCTATGAAATATGTATGTTTTGAGCTTCCAAAGTACTTTTCATAAGTAATCTAAATTACTCTTAAACTAAATTAAGTTTAAACTTTGTTCTTTTAAAAAATGGGTATAAAAATTATTCATTTTATAATACTGATAGAGTCACCATGAAAAATGTTTGACGTGTATCTTATAAGCCAAATGGCCTGCTATGAACAAGGGAAGAAAAGAGTATTGTATTTATTGTCACACTCAACTATTATATTGCATAAAATTCTTTTCTTTTCCCCACTCTAACATTCCTAAAGCATAGAACATGAAAATATAATTTGAAATAAATTTTAAAAGAACTCTAGAAGAAAATTGAGTATGCAATGTTCTCTTTGATAATGCATATTTTTGTATGCCATATACATGCTACATATATTGAGGAAATATATATGGATAGTTATAGAAAGGCATTGAGTTAAATTAAAATAAAATTAATGATAAAGTGCACAGTTGGCAAATGCAATATTAGGTGATACGAGGTTCTTTTGGATATAGATGTTTGATAATTATTTTCATGTACAGGACTAATATCCATCCAACTACTTTAATTTTGTCGTATATTTGTATTGCAAAACAATAGAGAACTTCAAGAGGTTTGAGGAACATTATCTGTAAGTTAAACAGTTAATTTGATAACAATTTGATTACCACTTTCACAACATTTTATTCCTTTTGAAAATCAATTAATTAAATGCTTCTGTCTTCTAGCATTTAAATTGCTTCTTTCGTTGTTCTTAATTCCTCTTTTTCAGAGTAAAATTTATTCTTAAAATTAGTTATACCAAATATTTTGCCACTCCTGCAAATATCTTAATCAGGAGCCATCTGAAAAGTTCAACAAGAGCGTATTTCCAAATGAATCAGAAGCATAGTTGTGGTCTGCTTTATTTTCATTAATTTGGAGTTGCATGACTTTGGGAACAATCCATTGAGCTCTTGAAATTAAGTAGCCAGTTTCTGGCATTTCAGACAAGGACTGAACTATTCTTACTCGTTCCCTTGCTCTACTGAAGAATAATGAAGTGAAAGAAGAAGCGAGAAGGAAGGAGGAATGGGGGAGATGTAAAGAAAAAGGAAGAAAGTCAGAAAAAACTGAATAGGAAAAGAAAATTATATATATTTAATCTGAATAATATGCTTATTACCAAGGATAGAATTACTAATGTAGGGCAAGACACTGGTATCTTAGATTAAGTTTAACGTTTTTCTATATTATGTGTGGATATTTTCATTACACACTAGACTGCTTTTCCTATCGAGGTTGAGGGAACAGTGGTGAGGGACAGATCTGGATACCAAAATTTTCTACATTACATGTGTAAAGTTGGTAATCTTGCCTAAACAAAAGATGTGTTCCAAGTATGAAATTTATGCTAAAGTTGATTAGCTCATAACGTCAATCAATAGTTTAGCTGTAAATTATTTTGAATATTAACATACAAATTATCTACATTTACATGGAATGTACTTACTTTCTCTGAGATAATTTAAGTATTTACACCATAGGCATATATAGATAAAAATAAAATTTTGCAATATCTACCTGGAAATATATTTGTATAAGGTTATGCAAGATATCAAATAGAACAAGCACAAAGAGTAAGCTTAGTTTGCATCCAAACTTTAATTGATGCCTGAAACATTACATATTGTTGTTCTCCAAAATTCTATGGAGAGAATTTGCAGGGTTCCTTAATTTAATCATATACCTCTGATATATCCAATTTAATTATTTATTCAGTGAACAACTGAAAAACTAAAAATCAATATTCAAAACCACACAACTTATGTTCCTTTGTATATTTAATGTATTGGCAGGAAACCATGTATAAGGAGAGAAAAATTCATTTTCAATTCTATACAATTTCATAATTCTACATGTTAAAAAATTTCAAGTTTATTAGAGCAAGGATGAAGTCACTTTTATCCCTTAATACAGTTGGGAAAAATATAATTTAAAAGTTAGAAGTAATCTCTTTTCATAACTCATACAATGGTTATTTTTAAGATTAAAAAACTGTTGAACACATTAGGAAGAGCAGAGTTATAAATGGGCCACCTAAAGAGAGTGTGACAAGATTATGTGAAATAGGACTGGTTTGAAAATAATATTATTATTTTGTAAAGTTTTGAAAAATATATCAACAAACTTTCTTTGGAAGCTACTTATATTGTCCAAAACTACATCTTTCATTTCATGTAATTCTCATCTCTTACTTTTTATGCATCAATTAAGAAATAAAACTTAGTTACATGGAGGATTCCACTTTGCATTAATATTTTATAATTTATACAACTGTCATATTTACATATAATCATATTGGGGAAGTGATTTTGTCTTTTTAAAAGAAAAATAACTTACATTGTGAAGAAAAATTAACAGCAGCCCCAATTGTGAAGTCAAATGCTAGCATTTCTATTTCTTTTCTAATCTTGGGTCTAATATGAAGGAGGTAGATGAATAGTAAGAGATACATCTTGTTTCATGATAACATCATGACATTATTAAGTTTATTTCTTTCCTCTTTGAAAAAAATTTTTGGAAGAGAAAATGTTGCAGAGAATGAGGGATAGCTCACTTCGCTTGGCCCATGTAGCATTACTATTTTTTTTTTTTAATTCCTCAGGGAAACTGTTACCACCTGTTCAATCTGAATTCAAGCAGTTACTGTCAATTTACTTACGGGTGAATGCTGCCTCTTTGTGGCAGAATGCCACGGAAAGTGTTCCTTAAATATAAAGTTCATGAACAGCCCTTGATATTGTACACATTCCAGGTGAGATTATGGGGAGATCCACCAATAGCAATGAAGCACATGGCTCTTTAAGTTTCAGATTTCCTACCCTTAAATACTAACCAAATTCACTGGCAATCCTTATTCAGAGGTGAACAGCTTATATCCACTAACATCTCGCACATTTAGGATACAGATCAACTTCCGATAAAATACCCATCATAATTGTTGAAGATAGTTTTACACAAGTTAAAATATGGAAACTATGGAAAACTGTAGACTGAATAAATAATACTGACATGACAAAATACATAATATTGAGAGAAAAATGAATATGCAATATATTACTTACCATGCTCCATGTATTAGATGAATACTTCAGTAAGGAAAGGAAGTACACAAATGAAATTTCATTAATAAACACATTAAATGACACATTTAGAAAAACGTATTTCCCTGAACCAACAAAGGTGTAATATTATATATATATATAATATATACTTTTAAAATTTGATAATTAGGGGAAAATTTTTTTATCAAGCATAAAAGTTAGCTATTATGCCCTAAATTGTTAATAAGGGAGATTCAGTCAACCACACATGGTTAATCTTTTTGCACCTTAAGTAATCATTACTTCAGTCCCTCATATTTGACATAGTTATCAAGTGTTTATTCAGAAACTATTTAAAAAATTACATGTGCTGGAATACATATGAGACTGTAACAACAGTAGCCCCATCTTACAGAGATCCTGTTTGTGGTTATCATCATTGCTTGCTGCCCAGAGAGACAGACATTGTATAGAGATTTGTACAGTCCATCATTTGGTCTTCTGAGGTGCCAGTACACGTGGATCTGTACAAATGCAACTGGGTTTGGTTAAACAATCAAAAACCGGCTACAATAGTAGTCAAATCAATACATCATTTTGGTTGACTAATAAAAATACTTTTAAATCTTCTCTAATAAAAACAGAAACTTGCACACAATTCTCCCTCGAATGAATGGCCCAATTAATTGCCCTCAATTTTTTTATTTTAAGCATTGGAATACAGTTTTGTTTTGTTTTTTTTAAATTTAAATTACAGATCCAATTGGGTGGGTTGCATTGGCTTTAAGATTTTACCATTAAGTTTTTCATATTTTTAATTATTTAAAATGCTTTCCTGATATCACTTCAGTTTTGGAAATGCAGCTCCTAATATAGTGTGACACCTCTGTGAAAATCATAGGCTAAATAGAGAAGGAAAGAGAAATGCTAAATGTGCATATAAAAATAGGTGCTACAATAAAATATTTGTATATTTCATCAATAAGTTATTTTGACTAATCAATTATGGATCATATAGCTCTGTAGTTTTAATGATTTGTCCACATCTATGGTGATCCTTTTCAAGATCACAATACTTTCGTTTTTTAATTCAAATGTCCAGAATGCATACAAACACATCCTTTAAAAAGAAAGGAAAGGAATGAGAGAGGAGGGAGGCAGGGAGGCAGAGAAAGGGGCGGGGGAGGAGAGGGAGAAACAGAGAGAGAACAAACTTTCTATTAAAGTTGGGGTGTGCTAATCTCTCCACAAAAGCCATTTAGACCCACCCATGGCTTAAAGGGGGAGAAGAAGAAGGGGGGGAAGGGAACAAAAGAGGAAGAGTAGAATCTATGGGCTGCCATCTTCCTCCCTACTTAGCACTTTCAACCACTACAAATATGACTGCGACCTTTAATAATCACCCGCGCAGCAAATTGTTCTCCATAAAGCCCTTCTCCTCTCCTCCCCCACACGCCAGAAGAGAAAGTGATGTGCCCAGTTTACACAAATGTTTCCCCACGTGTAAAATTAAAAGGAAATTGCACACCCTTTCAGTATCTTCCGCCGAAGCTGAGAATCTCGTGCCAAGGCACTTCACCCTAAACGTTGAAACAACACAATTAATCAAATGTGTTCACCGTGTGTGTCTGCTTGCTTGTTTGTTTTAAATGCAAAAGCTCCAAGGGAGTTTCTTTGCTTTTAGAACTGGCTAAATGTGGTCTGTTTTTCCAGCACTTCGAGGTAGTCCGGCTCAACGTTTAGTTTTGCTTTTAACTCCAGATATTCGTTCCGGTTGGGTTCTACAAAGACAGCACTGGGGGGGCTGTAGAGCACCGGTTCCCGCAGCCTGCTGTCCCCTGCCCCCGGGTGCAAATACTGATGGGGGCGTCTCAGGTCATAGTTGGGGGAGAAAGTGTAAGCAGCGGGGCTGCACGGGAATTTGGGATATTCCGGGAGGCTATTGCCGGCGGGGGTGGTGGAGCAGTGTTTGTCTGGTTCTAAAATGCCCCTGTAAAAGCGGTCGGCGTCCTGCACCGGCGACAGTAGGTCCTCCCGGGGCTCGATGGTGCTGACGCTATAGGCGGGGCTCCGCAAGTGGTGGCTTTCCCGCCTCTCCTCCTCCCCCGGCTGCAGCTGCAGCTGCGGCGGCGGGGGCTGCTGCTGGGGCTGCGGTGGCGGCGGCGGCGGCGGCTGTTGCTGCAGGTGGTGGTTGCTGCTGTAGGTGACCTTGAGCTCGTGCAGGTCTTTGTAATCCTCCACGGAGTTGCCCTCTCGGGAGCGGTAGATGGGGTTTTTGCACATGTGGCCCAGTGGATGGGGGATGTACTCGTACACGTGGCCCGCGGGCGTCTTCACCTTGGGCAGCGCGGGCCCGCGGTGGTGCACGTGCGCGTGCGGGTGGCCGCCCGAGCCGCCGCCGCCGCCGTACACGCTGTACTGCATGTTGAAGGAGCTCACGTCGGAATTGTTGGTGCTGGTGTGGTCACTCTGGTTCTTCTTCCTGCGCTTCATGACCAGCACGAAGAGCCCGGCGGCCACGAAGACGGACATGATGAAAACCAGCAGCAGGCTGAGGATCAGCACCGACAAGGGCACCGACGACGCACCTCCGCCCGCGCCCAAGCCCGCGGGGGCGCCGGTGCTGTTCAGACGCACGGCGGGGGTCACCGCGCTGGTCCTCTCTGGGACCTGGATGGAGGAGGGAGTGGGCGTGGAAACCACCACGTCCGAGTAGTCTGGGCACAGCAGCTCCGACTTGATGGAGCGCATATCCGTCTCAGCGAACTTCTTGGGCGCCTTGCAGATGACCTCGTCCACCAAGACACCCACTTTGAGCTGCTCGACCCACAGCTTCATGCCCACCACGTCGCAGGTGCAATCCCATGGGTTGTCGTGCAGGTCTATTTGGATAAGTGACTTCAGCTGGTCCAGAACTCCACTCACCGGCAAGGAGGTGAAGTGGTTACTCCTCAGGTTTAGCCTGAGGAGGGTCAGGCCTGAGAAGACGCCTGAGGGCATGCTTTGCAGGAGGTTGTTATTCAGGAATAGCAGCTGGAGGTTTGGGACCGGATCGAAAGTCCCAGACTGAATCTCGCGAATGAGATTGTACTGGAGGAAGAGATACTGCAGGCTCTGCAGGCCATAGAACAACTCCGGGTTCAGCCTCTCGATCCTGTTGCCATTTAGGTAGAGGCGCCTCAGGTTGGTGAGATCCCCGAAGGCGCGGTCCTGGATCATCGAGATGCGGTTGTTGCCCAGGTGTAGGAGGTCCAGCCCGGTGGCCTCCAGGAAATCGCTCCTGCGTACGACGGCGATGTAGTTCTCTGTCAGATACATTTTCTTGGGGTTGTAGGGCTTGGGCTGCAGCTCTGCGATGCTCTCGATCTTGCGCTCCTGGCAGTTGACGTTGAGGCCCAGATCGGAGATTTGCAGGTTGCAAGTGCACGCGGTGGGACACTCCAAAGGCACCGGAGATTTGGTCTGGTAGGCGATGCTGGGGCCATAGTTACTGTAGCCCAAGTCCTTGGAAGGCTGCCGAGAGGTGGGGCGCGCCCTGGGCTTGTTGGGTTGGCGGGTCCCCTTAGGGGACTTCAAGGGAGGTTTGTAAACAGCAGAGGAAGAAGTGGCCACGGAATTCACCGAAGCTGGGGTGGTGTGTAAATACCCCGTGGTGCTCAAAGGCGTCTGCGGCCTCATCTCGTAGTCTGAAATAAGTTTCCTTGGGCAAAGTTCCTGCTTGGACACCTCGTCCAAGTCCCGGCCGTGTAAGCGGAAGGGGGTCTCACAAACCACATCCCCCACCAGGGCCGAGTAGGAGATGCTGTCCAACCAATCCTTGAGAGAGATCAGCTCACAGGAGCAGTTCCAGGGGTTTTCCTCCAGCTGTAACTCCACAACTTTATCCATGTGCTGCAACAGCCCCACATAGGGCAGAAGTTTCAGCCGGTTCCCCCGCAGGTCCAAGTGTGTTAAGGGCACAAAACGGAAAAGGTTGTTGGGTAAACTGGACAAGAGATTGTCATTGAGGATAAGCACCTGCAACAAATGCAGTTTCCCAAAAGCATTGGGTTCAATGACACTGATGTAATTGTAATCGACCTGTAGGTACTCCAGGCTCTCCAAGCCAAGGAAGGTATCATCGCGCAGAAGTTCCAGTTTATTATTGTTCAGATGCAATCTCCTTAAACCCCGCAGCCCATGGAAAGCCCCGGTCTCAATGTCCTGGATAACGTTGCTACCTAGATGCAAAATTGAAGCCCCAGTGTAATTGACAAACTCATTGGGATAGAGACGGTTCAAAAGGTTTCCAGACAACAAGAGGTGGTAGATTGGGAAACGAGGAGGGCTAATTTCAGAGAGGCTGATGATCCCCCGGTTTTCACAGCTCACAGTTAAAATGCCGTCCTTTTCCTCACAAGGACATGCATTGTCACAGATTTCCCCATAATAATCGATGGTTTCTGCACACGAAAGGACGAGAGATGTTAGAGCAAACGCTAGAGTCTGCAGCATCCAGCTATGCATTTTTCTGTGAAGGTCCTGTTCCAAAGTTACTGGGGGGCAGCAAGTGTGCATTTTACCTCCTGCAAGGGAGAGAGGAAAAAAGGAAACAACAGAATATGACAAAAATTTAAGGGATCAGTCAGAAAGTCTGTCTCTTCCCTACTACTATTTCTCTGAAATCCAGAAGGAGGGGATATGAATGACCCCCCCACCGCACCCCGTGGAACATCAACATTCTCCAGACTTTATGAAAATCTGATATTCATTTTGATGTAAGGGTTGATTTCATTTTCTAATGAGAACAACAGGAACATGCTGCTCTTTACAAGATAAGGGCAGGTTAGATAAAGTCCCATTTTAGTGTTCTTCCTCGCTCCCCCCCTTTTCAAAACCAACCCATAAATATACATAAAATGGCTGTCAGTTCAGTTTCATGGTTCTAATTTAAGAGAAAAGAAGCACCATTTTACAAGGTCCCCCACCTCACCTCTACCCAGCCCCTTTGCCTTTCTTTCAGAACCTCTTCACAGTTAACAGTTCACCGTGAAGCTCTCCCATTTTCACAGAAAAGCAAGGAGCCACAATACTTGGGCTATTCTAAACCGTCGCTGGAAATGCCAGGGTGGGAACCTAAGGAATACTTTTCAGAGGCAAAAAGGATGTAAGATAATGCATTAAAAGGACCCAGAAGAAGCTCTTAAATCACCAATTGTCTTCAGGAGCTTTGAGTAGGGAGAAAAAGGAGAGCGCGTTCGCTTTGATGGTGGACTCCACTACCACGCTATTAAGCACATCAGCGTCCTAATTGCATGCACGGTGCCACTTAGCAGCGCTTCCCTGAGAGCGCCCTACGTCCCCTTCTCTTCATTGATCATGTCAGCGACGCTACCAAACCGCATCTTTAAGCCATTGAAATAGTTATGCACGATGGATTACAAAGAACTCTGCGAAGGCATCCGCAATCCCGGAACGCCTCCCGATACCTGGAGTTTAAAGAGGACGTTCCTACCGCTTAGCCGGAATCAGCTGAAAGTAAACCAAGGACCAGCGCCAAAGCCTCCCTTCCCTCGGGCTCCGCGTCTGTTTGACATGGTATGCAAAACTAACCCTAGTGAATTAGCAAGATTTGGATGAACTACCACTTCGCCAGCATCCCCATCTTTGGAGTTGCTTATAGCATTTAATTGTCAATGCTTTACTCACCCCACCGCCCTTTCTATTCTCGGGGAAAGGGTACTTGGGCTGATGAAGGGGCAAAATAGAAAGGTGGAAGGGAGGAAGAACAGCAAGTGACATAGGTCAGTGCTTTAATATCCGAATTTCATCTCCTCAAAGAATCAATGTGATCCCTCCCCCCTTTTCTTTCTTGCTTTCTTTTTGTCCCCTTAAAGGCTTCCTTCGACTTCCTACTTCGGGTCGACAGCAGCACTCATAAAGGAAAGGACATAAATGGAGCGAGTGTGTGAGTGTGTGTGCGTTTGCGTTGGTTGGGGGGAGGGGGAGGGAACATTTGGTAGAAACGCTGGGCTCGGGGAACCAATGCCTTTTTTCTGGTCAACGTTGTCTTTGCCTCACCACCACTGAAGGCTGATGTCGAATGGCAACCCAAAACTAAAGCCAAGACGTTTCTGAGTCACGGGTTCAAGCCTGGAGACCTCGATCTTGATCCCCAAGCCAACTCCAGCCCGCGTTATTAAGAACCCCTGCATTCGCACGCACATGTGCAAGTGTGCCTGCGAATCATTCACGTGTGGCCACCCAGACGTGTCGAGACGAGTCGGAATCACAGTGTATAAACCTCGCAAGTATCCCCGACCTCCCCAAGCAATGGCAAGCATCTCTCGGCTTAAAAGCGGCAAAACACCCCCTAGGAAAGCAAAATATTTACCTTGAAATTTCGGTTGTCCACTGGATCAAATCTGCACAGCCATTCAGCGGGGGTTGGGTCCCCTCCCCCTCCCTCCCTCCGCTTCCCCGCCCCCATTCACCTCCCACCCCTTCCGACAGCCCCTGGCAAATTGTGTCCAGCCAGTATTAAACTCGAGCGTTTACAACTTTAATTCAGTTCTGCTTAGCCAGGGTCGAAGAGCTTCCTCTCACCCCACTCCCTTTCCCCTCCTCCTTGCCATCAAAGGAGCCCGAAAATTTGAGAAAATAAAGTTGAATGAGCCGAGGAAGGCTGACATTCTGACTGGGAAACGCACCTCCGATGTAAATCGCGGGTGCGCTGCACATTCTCAGATTATCAGATTTTTTCTTTTGGAGGGCGGAGGCGGGGAAACTGTATTCGTTTCCCCCAAAGAATTGAGACCCGGGGTCGTCGCCCTGCACATGCCCGCAGTCAGCGGCTTGGGGCCGCGCGGGCTGGAGCCCAGCACCCAGGCCAGCCCCGCGGCTCCCGGCACACAAGCTCCCACGGCGGCCCAGGCAGGAGCACCCGGAGTTCCCGGACGCGAGGCTCCCCCTCCCCCACCCCGCCCATAGCGAAGGAAGGGAAAAGGGAGGAAGGAGGGGAGGGAGGAGAGGGGAAGAAAGCCACCCCGCCGCCACACACACAGACACACACACAGAGGAGCCTCTTTTGCAAAGTAAACGGCCGACTTACCCCGTCTCACATCTCCTGGGCCCACTCATCATAGCCAGCCTTACAAAAGATAGCTCTTTGGGGTGTGCACTGGGTGTCTGATGCCCAGGCAGGGCAAGGAGGCGGTGAGCAGCGCGGTCCGAGCGGCTGGAGAAAAGAGGCGCCCGGAAGCCGCCAGCCCGGGGCCGCCGCCGCGGAGGCGACCGCGGGTGCCGGGGCTCCCCAAACGGCTCTCCCCGGCGCTCTCCGCGGTAGTCGGAGCGGGCAGCGGGGTTGCGGGGAGAGAGGGGGGCGATCGCGAGCGGCGGCTGGGAAGGGAGGGGGAGGGGGCGGCGGAGGACCGGCTGGAGAGGCGCCTCGCGGTTGGGGCCGGGAACCGGAGCCGGGAGGGGCGGGGAGGGAGCTCCTGGAGGGGGGAGGCGCGGAACCCGAGGAGGGGGACGCGGAGAGGGCTGCCTGGCCCCGTCGGCCGCGCCAACGTGACGGTCAGCCCCGCCGAGCGCTCGCACCCGCTCACAATCACGCTCACTCGCAGACTCGCTCCCAACCGCGCCACCGCGCGATCGCCGGGACCCCGGCACTCTTCGCCGCGCCCCCCAGGCGAGTACTTACAGTTGCCATCTGCATAGGGGGCAACTTTCTCCAAGCCAGCAGCGGCCGCCGCCCCCTCCAGCCGCCTCCGGCTCCTCGCACCCTCCGGCCTGGGTTCGCGCCGGCCGGCCCTCCCCTCCCCCCTCGGCTCTCCTCGCCGTCTTCACCACATTCCCCCCTGGTCAGTGGCGCACGCCCGAGGACGAGCCAGAGGGAGCGGGGCGCGGGGGTGTGCATGCATCGCCCGCCTTCTTCTTGCAGCGCACACTGTACATGGTAGTGAGGGGGCGAGCGAAGGTGGCACCGGCCCCTCGGCTGCTCCGGCGGCGGCTGCGGCTCCTGCGCCGTCCTCCGCCCCCAGCGCAGCGGCGACCACCGCGCTGGGATCCAGCCGCCGCTGTCCCCGCGCCGAGCCCGCCGCCGCGGCCCCTAATTAATATTTGTAAGGCTCTTGCATCCTCTGGGCCGTTTCATCGCTCTCGGTGTTTGCAGGGGTTTTTCTCTATTCCTTCCCCAGATGCTGCGCAGGATCGTCATTATTTGGAACTCTCTCTCTTTGACATCCTTTGGGGAGCCTGGGGGGCAGGAACAGCGTTGTTCTACGCCTGTGGCGTGTCCCGGCAGCCCGGTGGCTCTTAAAAACTCAGAGAAAGTCGCGTCTTCCCTCCTGGGCGCTGAGGAGGTGGCAACACGGTAAGCATCGCAGGGGTCTCTGAGACATCTGCTCCGTCCAGTGCACTTGTTTATTGTCGCGCGGCTGGTGCGAGCCAAGCTGCAGCAGACATGATGGGCCCGGGGCGAAGCGGGCGCTCCGTGGCCAATAGATGGCAGCCGAGGGCGAAGGCGTCTCTGGGCTCGGGCGGCGCAACCAGAGCCCCCCTTGGATGTCACATTCGTGGGAGACAGAGGAGTCTTGGACCATGTGCGTAACACGAGCGTGGGACTGTGCAATCCTCAGATTGAAAAAGGGAGGAGTGGAAATAACCCCACCAGTGCCAGGCTTGTTGGCGGTCAGGGACAGATGATTCCAGCCCTGTGCTGATCGTCTGCCTCCCTCCTGCCGTCTAGAATAATACAGCCCCTGCTGCTGTCTCATGTACTTACTGTGAAGGACCCTGGAAGAGGGAGTGGTTCGTCCTAGCAGCAAACAAGGGCTCTAATTTTTTTTTTTTTGAGAATTAAGTTTTATAGGTATGTCTGGGCGATACAAGGGAATGCGAACGACTTTCAGAGAGAATGTGAATATATTTGATGTGTATTAAAAAGCTGGAAAGCCCTAAATAAATGCAGTGTGGATAGAAAACGAGTTTCTTGAAGAGTCACCTGCCAAACTCCACTAACGTCATCTCTACAGTAAGTACTCCTGGCTCTTTCCATGAAACCAGACACTTCCCTCCCCCAAAGAGGGTCTTTACATTTGTAAGTTGTATTTCCAATGTTTGTAATATTAGATCATCCCAGGTATAGAAAAAAAGTTGATCATCATAAGTAGCCCGATGCAGGCTGAGTACACATGTGCCTGTTCCTTTGATAACTGTGTGGTTTTACTACTTGAATATATTTTATCCATTTTCTTATGGATTAATTGTGTTGTATCTTTTGGAATTGTCTTAAACATAATTGATATTATCTTCTTGGTAACATTTGGGATAATATTGTGGTTATAATATCCTGATTAAACATAGGATTAATATAGATTCTGATATATATAGCCACAAATGTATCTTCCCTCTAGCATGCTGAATTAGGAGTGTTCTAGAGGTGATGAATATCGTAGTCTTCTGAGGTTTTGCAATATTTCTTGAAGTTTCCTCTGAATCTGTTTAGCAAATATTTTTTAGTTAAGCCATTCATACTTTGTTTGGAAACAATTTTGTTTATTTTGTTTAAATTTGGGGTATGTACATCAAAGGGAGAAAAGAAGTAATCTGTAATATCAGATAATGAAAATGAAATCTTATAATAGAACTTTTTGTTAAATTTAGAAACATTTGGCCTAGGAATGATAGCTACCTGCTACAGGTACATTATATAAACAGACAACTTAAACTTCACTTTTTACTTTGTTTTTTATTTAGTCATTACCTTCTAACATGATATAAGCATTTTATAAAATTTATTTTTTGAAGTATAAAAGCAGTTTTATATTTTCAAAATGAAAGCTTTCAAGTGTCATATTTTAAAATTGCATATTAATTACAGTTAGAAACTTTGGGCATAAAAATGTTAAATTCTATCATAGACATAATTTTCAATGTTGATAAACTATGGAACTTCTGAAAGAGTGTGGAATGGCTTACTCAATTATTGGACTTCTAAAAGCAGGTGAAATATAGCTATTTTAGTTCATTATTTTATCACTTTCCTAAATCTTAACAATTGCATTTAATATCAAGTTTTAGTTTAATTTTTGATTTTGTATTATTTTCATTTTAAATACTTATTACCCTCATAAAATAAATTTTGTTAAGCTAAGAAGTATTAAACATATTTGCAAGTAATTTAGGTTATAGTTTTGTTAGATACACTGATGCTAAAAGTATTCCGGTTTACCTCTTGTGGATCAAATAAATAAATGATGACAACTTTCTACCGTGAACTCAATATTAGGGATGGCCTGAGAAGCCACCATTACCATTTACCACTAGGTGTCTCTATAAACTACTCTGCAGGAAAGTGAATTTTGAGAAAATACTGTGACATGAAGAGACTAGAACATAAGAACATGGGAAGGAAAACCTCAGGATAATAAGGAAAAGCCTCATTTATTCATCTGTAGACTCCTATTTGCTTTGAATGTTGACTATTTGCTTAGAAAAGAAATAAATGAATCATGTAACAGGGATTGAATTTGAGCCAAGACGTTCATCCACAAGAACAAACGCATCTATGTTTTAGTCTATACTAAACAATATACAGTCATGTGGCATGTATACATGCATTCATGCAGTACCCAAATGAACACACAGGATTGCGTAAACACACTTGGGAGCTAGAAAATGAAATGATTGAGCAGATAGATCTCTCCAGAATTAAGGTCATTAATACTAAATTAAACATTATTTGATCTAGCTGGATATGAAAAGCTGAGAATCTTTGAATCTTTGTCCAAATGTTTGAGAATATATTTATGCATATTATAATTAGCTCATGGTCTAGCACCATCATAGATACATTTCATATGTGGCAATATATTTGGCAGTAATTAGTGCAAATTAGGGACACAATTTGATACCTGCCTATTAGAATTTAAACTCAAACCACAATTAGCATAATTGTCACTTGAAATTCACCATGTATTTTTGTGAATTCATGTATATTATTACTTGGAATTATTGTTTGTGTGCCTTGTGGACTCTTTGGAGAAATTCTTGTATTAATGCATTTCTTAAAATATCTCATCCTATTACATTTGTGCATCACTGTGGGAATTCTTTAGAATATTAAAATGCTAAGTTGAGGATTATAGTCCCTCATGAAGCAACCTAACAGAGATTATAAACAAGGAAATTCTTTGGTAATAATAATGAGATTTCATAAAGACCAATCAGCATCTTTGAAATCTAAAGCTGGTAGATCTTGCATTTCTTTTTGTTAGCCTAACTGGTGCATTAAGATTATAGAATTCTAATGCTAGATTCCAGACTCTCCCCAAATTAACTCTAATAGATTACTTTTATGATAGTAATAATTAATGTCTATACAACCTTATTTAGTAAATGATACATTTTTCAGACCTAAATTATATTTTTACTATCTTTGAAATTGAAATGATAAATACCACATATTCCTAAAAGGAGAAAAGTTTCTCCTGGAAAGGAAAACATGAGTCATCCTTTATGGTTGTTTCTCTATTGCAATTCCTGGACTAAATATCTGTATAGCATATGTTTTTTATCAGTTTGATACATTTGGAATTACAACAGCCAAACATATTATGCAGTGATATTTATCAAATCAAATGGGCAGCTAAACGACTAATTTCACCAAGATTATTTACTCACTTATAGACTTAATTAGTTATTTACAGTCTTAGAAATATGCTCTCAGAGGCATGAAAGAAAGATATACGTAGAATAGACAGTCTTCTTCCTCGCCTCATACAGTTCCTTGTAAATACACTCTGATATTCTTTTGCCAGAATGATGTATTAAAAATTCTTATTTGGAGGACCACTTGGAAATATCTACTAAAGTTTAAAATGCGTGTATCTTTTGAACAATTATATTTTCAGAAGGTAGCCTACAAGTGGACCAAAATACAATGTATGAAACAATATGTAAGAATATATTCATTGTAACAAATGCTTGCATTTGCAAATGGCTAAGGACAGCCTACATGTGTGACTAAAAGAAAAGTGGTACACATCCCTCTATACCTTGGAATACACTTCTGCCTTTCATAACATTGTATATAGGAATATGGTTCTGTCATTATTAGTAGTGTATATAGCATCATCCATATACATTGTTTAGAAAGAAAGAGAGAGAGAAAAAAAAAGGAGAGAATCTTTCCGGAAGGAATCATAAATTCAGTAGTGATGTGTGCCACTTGGGAGAAAACTGGGGAGTCCTGAGTAGAATGGAAATTTATTTTTCACCATGCATTCTATTTTTTACTGCTTGAAATTTTCAGTTTGCATGTACATTTCCAATAA